ATTATGTATCGCAAGCGTCTTTAAACATGTAGGCCACTTACTATTAGGCACGGACCTAGTGCTATTAGGCGGGCGATGCTTAATTGTTTGCTACCCCTTAATTTTAAAACAACAACAAATGGAACTTTACTAGCTAAGTACTTTATCGGATCCCTAGGAAATTGTATAAATTTCAAAGCGACAAAACAAATGATAGACAATATGAAGGAAAATGTAAATACTATATTGATCAAAGACGAATACTTTTTTTGCATACGATGAGAAATTAGTATGATGGCTTTGAAGAATAATGTTTTAAGACATTTTATTTCTAACCGTGTTTATTTAAAATTAATAAAAATGTACTCGGGAATTTTGCAGTTTTATTCCAAAACACGGCAATCCAGATCCCAAAACACGGAAACTTTTGGTACATTTACTTTTCTCTATGACGGAAACTTAAAATTCCCAAATGGCTACCCTGCTTGGTATTGATTTTTTACAGCTGTGTTGTGACCATGGCTTAAGCTATTAACAGACGTTCCGATTTGGTTGGTGCCAACCACCCGACCACGACCAAAACGGAAAGTGTGGAGAGCGGTCGGTCCAACATAATTATTATTATTATTGGTTGGACGTGGTCGGATCGCCAACGCATCCGACAAGCCGACCGTCCAACCAAATTGGAACGTATGGAAGCTACGTTCCGACCAAATCGACTCAATCGCACTCGCTACGCCGGCGTTGTAGGACGTCAACATGAACGCCGAGGGAGTGACGGTCACCGAACGTGACATATTAATAAAGTTACTAGAACTTTATAAAGACTTTCCCTGTTTGTGGGACTTAAGTCACAAAGATTACGCCAATAGAGATGCCAGAAATCAAGCGTATTTGATAATGCTGAACGTTTTTAAAAAAAATGACAGTGCAGCTACTTTGAAAACGTTGAAAACTAAGTTGGACAATATGCGTACATCCTATAAGAGGGAGCGAAAAAAGGTAAGCAAATTCAAGTCTAATAATCTGTTGTGTATATAAATAAATAATGTGTAAGTTGTGAGTATTTTTGTAAGTTGTTACATATTTATAATACATTGTTGTAAGTATGTTACATATTTATAATTATTAATATTTGTGTCTTCAATACATACTTTTGTTGTACTTATTCTCTTTTCCTTATTTATTTATATATTTCATTTTTAACTACCTTACAATGCTTTCGGTTTTTATTCTCAAGGTTGACTGGGAGAGAATGCTTTTAGCATTAAGTCCACCTACTGTTAGCTCTACGGGCTCGAAAAGTTAAATAAAAAATAAAATAAATAAATAAATAAAAATTACGTTACATTAAATACATGTATTTAATGTGACGTAATTTTTTCATTTCATAATGATATGACTGCTAAAGGATTTCGCCCCTTCCCTCTACCTGCTTCTACAGTTCAAGTGACATAGCGGTATAATTGCTACATCAAGTCATGTTTTGACAATATTTATTAACAAGTAAAAAAAAATTACATATTCAAAGTACTTCATTGAAGAAATAACACAACTATGGGTTTCAATAAACTCTAGGATATTGTACATATTTTTAGGTGGAAGCTAGCAAGACTAGTGGTGCTGGAAACGATGAAGTGCATTTGCCATCACTATGGTACTACGAACATCTCTCATTCTTGGACGAAAAAACCACACCGACGACAGAGGTTATTGACAATATGGATACGAATTCTTCCCTGTCAAATAATGATGGGGTAAGCTTTAAATATTTAAAGTATTAATCATTCTTTCTTGAAAATGTACCCGGCCCTGATTGTTAAAATATTCAGTGAATATTTGTCTAACAGAATTACCATCAGCAGTACGTTGCCTTTCTGTTCTGTTAAGACTTACTGAGTTGTCATTTAATCTCCAGTCTCCTGGCCGAAAAGTACATGTTTCAGTATCCTCGGTATCAACACAATTTCTTGTTATATAGTTCGATGACTTTTTTCTTAAATAATTGTGCAGTGCGCATGAAGCCATTACAACTTTGGGTACATTATGAACATTAATTTGAATTGGTCTTTTTAATACTCTAAAACGTTCAGCTAAAATGCCAAATGCATTTTCGACAATTCTTCTTGCTCTGGAAAGTCTATAATTGAAAATTCTTTGATCATGTGTCAAATTTCTTCTTGGATATGGTTTTAAAACATTTTCATTAATGGCAAATGCATTATCTGCTACAAAACAATATGGGGCGTTAACATTTGTTTCCGGTAAAATAGAAGGTGATGGTAAATTTAGTTGTTTCGATATCAATTTTTCATGAAAAGTTGTATGTTTGAATATTCCACCATCAGAAATACTGCCATTAGAACCTACATTTACATAAATAAACTCGTAATTTGCATTCACAATACCAAGCAGGACTACACTGAAAGTTCCTTTATAATTATAGTACAATGTACCCGATTTTGGCGGCTTCTCGATAATAACATGTTTGCCGTCAATAGCACCCAAGCAATGATTAAATTGCCATTTTGTTTCAAAGTCTTTAGCTATTTGTAACCAGTCATTTTCTGTTTCAGGAACCTGCAACAAAAAGAGAACGCGTTACGAGAAAAAAGCAAAATGATATTTTAAAGAAACAGTCGGAATTACTAGAGTCTGCAAAAATATTAATATCAGGCGACGGCACATCAGCTGATGCTTTTGGGAACTCCGTGAGCTCTCAACTCAAGGAGCTCCCAAAAATACAAAGATGCCTAGCCGAAAAATTAATAGGCGAAGTATTGTTCTATGCAAAACTAGAAATCCTTACTTTTGAAACATCAATAAATGTAAAAAGAAGTTCAGAACAATCTTTTGGTCAGCGGTATGCGTATCAGCAGCAGGTGCCAAAACCATCACTAGCACCATCATCACAGCATCACCAGCCATCACCATATGTACCATCACCAACACCATCACCATCATCACAGCATCACCAGCCATCACCATATGTACCATCACCAACACCATCACCATCACCACAGCATCACCAGCCGTCACCATATGCACCATCACCAACACCATCACCACAGCATCGTCAGCCATCACCATATCAATCGTCACCATCACCATCACCACAGCATCGTCAGCCATCACCATATCAATCGTCACCATCACCATCACCACAGCATTACCAGCCGTCACCATATGCACCATCACCAACACCATCACCACAGCATCGTCAGCCATCACCATCACCTAAGTACTCACATACAGCACAATCTCAACCGTCACTTCAACACAGTCAGCCATCACCATCAACATTACCTCAGCTTCCACCATCATCACACTCGTACCAACACATAGTGTCCCCTCAGCTTACATCGGATGACTCATCTTCACAACTAATCTATGATTTGCCACCAATCCCATTAGATTCCACTTCATTGATTAATGACTACCCAAACACTTCTTTTGAATTAAGCAGCAATCAACAACAAGTATTCAGAGGAAAGGCGAAGGAATTAAACAAATATTTGATTTTTAAAAAGTAATTTTTCGAATTGATATTCGTAGGTATTTTTTCATTTTCATTTTTATGATTTCGAAAGTAAGGATACACCCAACAAATAATACATTAAATTTTTTATACTTGCTAACAGAATCACCATCGTCATGTTTGTTACTATAGAAAAAAAAATATAATTTTTTTAAATAATTAAAGTTGTTTTATTGAATACATACCTTTAGGTAATCGTTGAGTACTCTAATGATAGCTTCGCAGGTCTCTGGTATTATCTCAGACAGTAGTTGTGGTGATATACATGTGCTTAATTTAAGATCTTTATATTCTCTTCCTGACGCGAGATATTTTAAAGTTGCCACTAATCTTTCTTCGGCAGTTACAGCTCGCCTCATAACTGTATCGGTTTTCGTTATATATTTTTTCACAAAATTTAATATTTCAACGAATGATTCTGGAGTCATTCGAAGATATGTTCGGAAATCTTCATCATCCAATTCCTTAAGGAGCCGCATATGGCTGTAATATTCTCTATTCCTATAATAGAATTTAGCCCATTCGCTTCGTTTTTTCCTTTGTTCCTTTTGTAGCGGTGATGTAGCAGCAATGGTTGCTGCAACCAACGCTATTTTAGCATTTTTAGATAATACCGGTGGCATGATGTTTATGCATCGACGATCGACGGCATCAGGTGGCAAGACGTCCGTTCACTACTTCATAGCAAAGTAAACTGACGGTTGGAAGGCCGACCGTCGGAACGTCTATAGCAATGTTGGAATGGTTGGTACATCGGTTCCAATTTGGTTGGCACCAACCAAATCGGAATGTCTGTTAATAGCTTTAATGGTGACAAAAATCATTAATCTCTAGATTGCCCCGCCATCTTTTGACAGACTACTGCACCTTCGAAATACTTCGAATAGTGATCTTTGTTTGTTTTCACGGTTTTCTCTTAAAATTTCTTTACTAAAAACCTCTAACATAAATTTATTTACACTTGATAATCCAGGATTTAAACCGTTTGTTTAAATTATTGATTGGGTTTGCTGTAAGTACACTTTAGAGAAATTCTTAAGCATTTTTTTCTGAAAATCACCGGTTAATAAAAATTTCCTGCGAATATTGCAGACCTATCGCAATTCGAGATGGCGCTCGAAATGTAGTAAAAGAGACAAACGTAGTGGAATAGCAGGTATATGTTATAACAATTTTTATCATCTGATGGAGTATCCCCATTTAATAAATTGAATAAAACAATGAAAAGGTAAGTACATACCTACCTACTTTGTTTTATTAGTATTTCACTCACAGTGAATTAAATTCATAGTTTATTTTGACTTATAATTTTTTAGCTTCATCAAGTAAGTAACAAGAAGTCAAGTTTTCACATTAACATATTATATTTATAAATTATTATGATGTCAGGCATTTAATAAAAGCCAATTAAAAGAGCTAATATCCTTAAAAACCTCTCTTAATTATGATGTAAAGATGATTCCGTGTTAGCAAATTTCTAATAATGGAAGCTCCTACTGAAAATTGGGACCCGGGTAAGAAATACATTTTCATGAATATCAGTTCAATCAGTAATGTAAAAATAATTGACTCTTATTGATTTATAGCCTTAACACGTCTATTGACTTCCTTGAAAGAAGTTCAATCAGGTGGAGAAGATATGGTGTTCCTGAGTGAGCTTCTCCAATCAAAACAACTCAATGCACTAGTTCAAGTGCATAATAAAATTGTAGCTAAAGGAAAAGATGATAAATTCTACCCTTTGCTATCGAATGCTATGCAAGTTACTTTGGAGGTCCTAGATTTACTCGGCGACATAGTCTCTGTATCTCAAGAATATCAAGAACTATTAAATTTGCTACAAAAACCTCACTTTCAAGTAAGTGTCCGCATTTACCTACTTCTCAAGTCATTGCAATACTGCTGTTATAATCCTAATTATATTTCCATGCACCAGGCTATATTATGTACTCATGATGCTGTTGCACAAAAAGATTACTATCCGCATCTGCCTGACATCCCACCCGAAGCTGATGAAGAAGAAGAAACAGTAAAAATTGTGCAACTAGTTAAAAGTGATGAACCCTTGGTATGTATTAGTACTGTTTTTTAAATTAAACATATGCGAAATGATTCCAGCTGTTGGTTAAAGCAGTGCAGTAAATAACAATGAAATTGCTTGAATTTGAAGTGAATGCTATAAATATTATATACCTAAATATATTTAACTATGTAACTGATTTAATAACTCAAAATTTGGTTTTGTGTGTTGTTTATTGCTCAAGCAGTTTCTTTACATTTGTTTAAATAAAAAGTCCAATAACAAGTGGTAGGGAATAAATTTGTAGGACAGTTCAAGAGTAGTACTATGCATCCAATTTGAATAAAGATATTTTAACGGACTCTGAGATGCAAATCACTGATATTTTATACACTACCGACTGTATGTTGTTTGAACTTGATAAAGGTCAATGGCATAAAAATTCATTAATGACAATAATCTTTTGAAAATTAACCAATTTTTAGTATTAATAATAATAATTGAAATCATATTCTAAACTGTATAATATTAACTAAGTATAGGAAACTTGTAGGGCTTAAATGTATTTTCTTTTATTTGGAATTTCTTAAACATAATATTATAATATTATTTAAAAAGTAACATTAAAATGATTGAATGAAACTTAAAACACAAATATATGTTAAAAAAAGTGGCTTTTGTGATGCTTGTAAGGAATGCACTTTTAATAATATACTATACACATTATAGCCAAATAATATTTTATTTAAGTTGATTGTTATAATTTTACTATGTTATTTAAAATGAGCAAAACAAATCTTTCATGGATTTTTTAAAAAGAAGTATCATTTAGAAATAGCAGCTATTTCATATGACATCTTTATAATAACTAAATTTACTGGAATAGGCACTATCCCAGTAAAACAATTAGTAATGTTTTGTATGATTTTTATCATACCTCTTTCTCTATACTATGTGCGCGTGTAAAATGGGCTGCATTTAAAATATCTTATTATATCTCATGCATTTATCAATCATCTCTCCAAAACCACACAATTTAGTAAACTTTTCAGTTGGGATCTGCTTTCACAAAGTTAAAAATTTCATGGTATACAATGTTAGTAGAAAAAATTGCATCATGATGAACTGCCCTTTTATTTTGTGAGTGACTGATGCATCAATCTAGCGTTTTATCACTTTTTCTGCTATGGTCTCCTATAAACACCGTACGATGGCTACTCCTATGTTTCCTATTAAAAGCTATACTTACGCTGCGTTTCAGTTCAGCGTAAAGCGGGCTGCTGACATCCCTGCCGCAGGGCCATTCTAGGGCGCACTTTCCTACGGGGCAATATCGGCTTGTCTCTACACACATGCCTGCTACTCAGTGTTTGGGTATAAGTTGAACTAAACATACGCGTTGATAATGACCCCAGTATTATCAAAATATCAAAAGATCGGTAGGTAGGGCCTTTGCTCTTTCCACGGTGTTAACGCAAAAAAGGAAATACTGTGTGAGGACTTGGCAACGGACAGAAAATTTGATCGAAATACCTGCGCTCCGTCTGACGTTACCAACCAACTGATTGAGAAATAGCCCCGATCGCGCTACACACGCGGTAACGTGCAGGGCGGCAGGGACAATCTAGGAACCAAGGGTGGTCTCGCGCCACTGCCGCCCTGCCGCAGGGCCAATTTAAAAAATTGCCCCTGCTTGCCTACACACATCACAACTAAGGAGGCAATTTAGGGTCATCCCCACCCTTACACCCTAGATTGTTCCTGTGACAAGGATGTCAGTAGCCCGCTTAAATGTTTCCATCGACGTCTGAACGCCAGGCACAACGTTGGCGGTCAACGACGTCTCGTTCACAACAGTGAATATCGTCGTCGTCGTTCGTCAAGTTTCGTTTTTTTGTATTGATGCTAAATACGACTTTGGTGCAATGGATGCTGCAATGGATCGAAATATCTTGAGACGCGACGCAAAACGTTCGAATACCACCTACGAACTATTAAGTAATTTTTGCTACGGCGTCTACACACCGACGTCAGCGTATGAAGGGACCACAACAGTACATTTCTATAGTATCGTGACGTGGCGCTGTACGCGTTCTACAGCGTTTATAGGAAATCAAAGCCTTATTAGCCGGAGAGCTGACAGCCATTTTTGAGTACATCCTTGAGGCACATTGAAAATATTATTGTTGATTAGTTGCGAATGTGTGGATGATGAAATGGCCGACCTGGCTGGGAGATTGCGGGGCGTTAATGAGCTATGAATTTTTTAATTCGCAATTTTTCTCATGCAGAAAATGTTCTTGAGGCACTTTGAATCTTACAGCATTTTAAAGTCTGATGTTTAATTAAACGATATATCATAATGCCAGGCGATTTGGTTGAGATTTAAATGGTGACAGGCGATTTAAAGTTATATTTTATTTTGCGCAAAAAATGTACTTGAGGCAAGCTGGGATTTATACACAATAATTGTTGTGTTGATAAGATGCCATATATCAAATGACAGGCTGTTCTGGCGGTTATTTAATCTTGCCAGATGATATCATTTTATTATTATTTATTATAAAAAAATAAATTTTTACAAAAAATTTTTGATATACTTTTTATGTAATTTTTTTTATTCATCGATATCTGATGGAATCTCCTCGTCGCTTGTGAACTCGTCCATAGAGTTGAGTTCTATGAACTCTTCTTCATTGTCTGAAAATAAATAAAAAAAATTAACAAATGTGAAATACAATCAATAGTGCGAGTATTTAACAAATTATTATTACATACCTGTAGCATTTTCATCAGAGTGTTCAAATGTCCCAGGATCAATTGCATCGATAACTAATTGCGGCATGCAATCCCCATCAAACCAATAAAAATCCAATTTATCCTCCTTCAGCTGCCATCCATGTTCAGTGGGTTCTAGGTTACTTGGAAAACGTAAATGTGCATTTCTCCAGATACTTGTAACATATTGAGCTCTTAAAAGCTGTTGGTGCAACTCTGCTTTACATGGTGGTAACGTAGACGGATCATAGTTTTTGACAGTTTTTTTGAAAGGCTCTTCCGTGCTCTTAGCTTTAAATGTCTTGCAAAATTTTTCAAACCGTGCTATGTTTATATCTGCGATATTATTGACACCGTACATTTCACACACGAACTTCTCAAGCATGTTAAAAACCTCATTGCGTAAATCTGTCGTATGCGCACATCCTAGATCAATAAACGCTTTTTGATACAGTTTATTTTTCATTAATAGTTGGAAAGGCCTCCGCTTGCCTTTATTAAAAAATGAAGGATTGTAGTCACACCCAGTGACTGCATGAAAGCCAGGCAAACTTGCGCATACTGAATTTCCGAATTTGGCATATAATTGTGATATATCAATGAATCTTCTTCTATTTGTGCCGTATTCCATAAAAATATTCAGTTGGTCGCTATCAAGATGATCCATGTTTCCAAGCATTATCAATAATACGTCTGTATCGCATGATTTTATGAGTACATTTGTTGTTGTATCTGCATCAATTTTACAGACATGATGCACTATTTTTGTGTCTGCTTCTTGATCTTCACATGTCATACTCTCATTGATGTTCATAAGAATTAAATTATCGTCAGCTTTGTATGAATAACAACGATCATAATTTACGTTAATTGTTGTATTACCAATAAACGGTATCATTTCATTTTGTGAACAATGATCAATGAAAAATTTGACTAAGGCTTGTTTAAATTTTATGTTTTTTAATTGTTTCATAAAATCTGTAGGCCGGATTTGACTGGGACCAGTAATATTGAAATCAATATTATTTTCTTCATTCCTTCGCGTACGTTCATAATCTTTGATAGACGGCGTGAAATACTGATCAAAAATAATATCAACACGTGAAGGTCTGGTAGCTGTTATCATTTGCATTATTTTTTTGGATATATTGCCAAATGAAGCAGGAATATCGGTCATTGTGTGCAACAAGAATCATCCGTCAATGACAGCAACATCAAAAGTGTTAGGTACATTCTCACAGTTATGATCTTGTTCTAAAATTTGGACAATTACCGATTTCTGTGTTTGGTATATACTCCCATCCAAGCGGCACATGGACATCGGAATAGGAATAATTGGATAACTTAAAATTTTTACAATATCAATTTTATAATCCATGGACAAACCTACCATTCGTCCAAACATATCACGTTGGATCTTAATTTCTTGCGTTTTATTTCCACTTCTTACAGTTCTTTTGACGATGTCGGTCGAAAAATTCGTTATTTTCACTCTTGAAATAGACTTTTCAAACCGCTATGCCGCTCACTCGCACTCACAGGCAACTATTATTATCACCTGGCAAGATTAAATAACTGCCAGATCGGCCTGTCATTTGATATATGGCATCTTATCAACACAACAATTATTGTGTATAGATCCCAGCATGCCTCAAGTACATTTTTTGCGCAAAAAAAAATATAACTTTAAATCGCCTGTCACCATTTAAATCTCAACCAAATCGCCTGGCATTATGATATATCGTTTAATTAAACATCAGACTTTAAAATGCTGTAAGATTCAAAGTGCCTCAAGAACATTTTCTGCATGAGAAAAATTGCGAATTAAAAAATTCATAGCTCATTAACGCCCCGCAACCTCCCAGCCAGGTCGGCCATTTCATCATCCACACATTCGCAACTAATCAACAATAATATTTTCAATGTGCCTCAAGGATGTACTCAAAAATGGCTGTCAGCTCTTGGGGTATATGTTTTACTGGCCTTCTGAAAATGAGTTAATATAACAAAAGAAAACAAATTATATTTTTGTTGGATACTTTCAGATTTCATCAGCATAAAAGTGTTATTTTCCTTTAATTAATATTTTAACTGATTTTTCACCTTGATCGCAACATTGTGTTCTACTGATCAGGATAAACATCGCAATAAATACACTTCTTTATGTATAAGATAATGAAATATTAGTACTGAAGATATGTATGTATAGTTCATATAAGACCTGAAGAAATGATTAAACAGTCTTTAGACAAATCAACCTAAATCGCTTCCACTTTTGAATTCCGGGGTCACGTATATGTGTTTACCTAAAACAGATTTTGTTTGGATTCCTCGTTATGTTTAGAAAACTAAATTGTCTGTTTAAATTGCGCAACCCGGGAGTGAGTGATAAAGTCCTGAAGGTAATGCCGGTGGTTTTAGGGATGGATATCTCGAGTTTAATTGAACCAATTTCTATTTTCAAGGTAATTTTCAATGCATAATTTTGACGCTGTTTTAATAATCTTTAGTATTTTTTTATGTAAATAAAGAATAAATTTAAACATTTGGAGGTTTGTGAAAAAAAGCATTTTTGCAAAACTATGTTTTACAATGTTTTTTTTGCATCTTCATTTTCAGAGTATATTTTTTTACAAAAAATAATCGCTATATTAAAGTTATGTGTATTGATTGAGTTTTCTCAAAACTCACCTCGAAAATAGGAACACGTTGAATGGAACTTGAGAAATCTACCAATAACTAAACGCATCCCAAAAGCTGTCGCCGCCACTTTCATTACAATAGACCGTAAACAGTGCCTGTTTGGGCACATTAATTATCTAGAAATCACGAGGAATCGAACACACTCTCTGTCTTATATTCACAGAGACGTGATCATGGGTTTTTAAGAACAAAGGTCTTGCTGTTTATCTAAAATATTCCTTTCTGTTACATTGATTCTATGACAATGTTTTTTTTTCAATAGTTTATCTGCATTTAGCTACTATTTTATAAAGTATGGAATAGCCCTGGCTTCATGATATAATAAATAATTTATATAAAATGCATTATCTGTGGTGTAGAAGGGCATTTCGCGAAAAAGAAACACAATTTGGAAATAATATTATTTCGAGACATTTGTTTCAAACTTTGTTGTTTTTGAAAGGGTGGTGCTCAGAGTGCAGAGCCAATTGTGGTAAGTATAATTATAAGAATGGTTGTAATTATGAAATGCAATACTTACCCAAAATGCTTGGTTGTATCCTGTCATCACATATGAGTATATTTTGCCCATGAAATTTTATTTGACACCTTTCACATCGTCATTTTCGTTTCCTTTACCTGATGTTTAAAAATTTATTAGCTGCTATCTCTTGATGATCATGCAATTTGTACTGTGTGCCCTGTCTCGCCTTAAAGAAATATTATTTTCATCGTAGCTTTTTATTTCATAATCAACGCACACAATACACCTTGCTTTATTTATATTTTTGCTACATGCCTTTGGAGTTTGATCAGCGATTATACAACTTTATTTTTGTCTATTTCCAAACCCCGTTAGAATAAAGCACGGAACCACGATTTTGTGTCATTCCTTTAATCTTATTACCTACTAAAATGATGTGCAAAATATGCATATAAAACAGTAAAGTACCTGTTAAAATAATAAATGAAAAAATGGTTTGAGAATAAATTATGTCAACATATAATGTTGATACTACACATACACCATGTTCTGATTTGAAGCATAAGAAATCAGGAATCTATAATAATAAAATCTAATAACTACTATGGTATAAACTGTAGAAAATTAAGCAATATTACGACCTCCGTGGCCGAGTGGTTTGTACGCTGGGTTTCAATGTGTCGCCTACTCGAGAGGTTCGAATCCCTGTGGGGGCAGATATTTGTGTGACGAATACGAGCATTTGTACTTCAGTCATGGATGTTTAATATGTATTTCTCTATAAATATACTTATATATGTATCAGAATATGTATTCTACCCGTTACCCTAGAATCCCATAACACCAGCCTACAATGCTTACTTTGGCGCTAGGCTGATTGGTGTGTGTGTGTTGCAAATATTTATTTATTATTTAAAAAGAACAAATTATTTACAGATACATATTCGAGAAACTTAGTTATGTTGATATCTATAGCTCTGTATCCAATATATAATAATTTATAAAACATATTGTGATATTAAGATTTTACAACATAAATGTAATTGAAAAAAAGTTTCAAAAATAAATACTAATAAAAAAATAATGTGAATCGTCTGACAATCTGTGTAGATTGTTTTAAGAAAGTTTATTTTAGCGTGAGAAACTGAATTTGATTTGTGCAATGTTTATATATATTTAGCACTTGGTTTAATAGCCACGCTACTATATTTACGAATAAATAGCTCATAAGGTAGTCTTAGCTTATGAGTTAGGTAGGCCTTTATTAGACATTAAAAATAATTTGTTGTGATTTACGGTACTTTAAATAGGGTGCTACAATAAAAACTGATGAAGATACTGGGAAGATTGTGATAGCCAGGGTGATGCATGGAGGAGCAGCAGACAGATCGGGTTTAATTCATGCGGGCGATGAAGTTATTGAAGTTAATGGAATAAGTGTTGAAAACAAAACACCAGCTGATGTCCTGGCAATACTGGTTCGTCTACCTGTGCATTTTTTTATGATTTTCCGATATATGTAAATGCAGAGACTGTAAAGGATGAATTTTGCCTTATGCCAGAATCAACACCAATAGTGTAGATTCTCACATGATTCTCTAAACCTAAAATTAAATTTTAAAACATATCATTGTCATTCCCTATACAGAAGGAAAAGAAGAAACTGATGTAAAATTTAGAATTAGTTTAAGTTGAGATTATCATGCCAGAATCAAGGGAGTCAGTTGAGCGGTCGCCTTATATGTCGTCAAGTATATTTCCAATGGTTTTTTGTCGTATTATTTTCAACGACAATTTTAACAATCAAAATTCCATTAAACACTTTCAATTTGAATGTTTGATGTCGGACTTCAAAAACTATCTGTATTTTAAGTTTAATATAAAGCAAATTAAAAAAAGAGTTATTGGGAGCAAATGCGATAATGTAAAATATACCCTTTTGGACATTCAACACCGATAAAAGATACATTATGCTTACCTATTTACATTATTTATGTTTCACAAAACATTTCTGAGCGATTTGTTGACATGTAACCTTGAAGAAGAGATCATAATATATAACATAAGTTGTGTTTTCAGCAAAGCTCCGAGGGCACTATCACATTCAAATTGGTTCCATCATTCGGCAAAGGCGGTTCAAGGGAAAGCAAAGTGAGAGTAAGAGCGCTTTTTAATTACGATTCGTCGGATGACCCCTATATACCTTGTAAAGAGGCGGGGTTGAATTTTAAAAAGGGTGATGTTCTGCATATAGTTTCGCAAGATGACGCATACTGGTTAGTATGTAGATGATTTCTTAGATCAAAGAAATTAAATGAAGATTGTAGTTATACTTTGATGGTTGTGTGTTGTAGGTGGCAAGCTCGACGCGAAGGCGACAGAGTTATGAGAGCTGGGTTGATACCATCCCGAGCTCTGCAGGAGGGTCGCATTATACATGAGCGTCAAACAGATCCGCAAACCATGGACGGTCAGTTAATATCCCAAATATAGGCCGACCAACATTTTTTTCTTCGTTATCAAGTAGATTATCAAAAAGTATTGGTCACTTATTTTTTATATCTTCGTATAATCAGAATATTACTGAGACATATTGATTGAAAAAGGCGCGTGCCGTCACGTTTTTGTACAATTTTTACTAAAAAGTGACGTCACGAGTCCCAAAAATTGATGCGCTTTATTTATCTTTGTTATTTTTTGGGTGATTGGCAAAACAAAAAAATGTGTCCATTATTTTTGGATAATCTAACTGACAGACTAAATAGAATTTCGCTTATTTTACCCCGTCGTCATCCCTATTGAAACCGGTGGTCTATTCCCTAACTTTTTTCACATTTATAGTGTGTAACTAAAGAGCAAATTGCATATCCATCGATGCTTTTCAAGACGAGTATTTTGGAGGCGTTATAATAAAGCAGAAGTGGATAACTAAATATCTATCATCTATCAAGCGGACAAAGGTCACATTGTATTGTTTTCGTGAACAGGAAAGCCAGCACTATGTAGTTCGTCCACCACGAACTCTGATTGCGCGCCGAAGACCCCGTGCTCTCCCACTCCGACCGCCACCGCTCTGCTGCCGTGCAAATCCACGCCGAAGGTGAAGAAGATAATGTACGACTATAGGGAGAATGATGATTACGATCGTGAAATGATACCTACTTACGAGGAAGTGGCTAGGTTGTATCCGAGGCCGGGGCTCGTGCGACCTATAGTGCTAGTCGGGGCGCCGGGCGTTGGCAGAAACGAGCTGCGCAGACGGCTGATTGCAACGGATCCGGAGAAATACGTCACGCCTGTACCTTGTGAGTATTGTAAAATAGCCTCGTCCTGACAGAGCTAGCAGCCTCGCGTGGCAGCCTCGGACGTTTGCCGCGCGAGGTTGCCTCAGACTATATTTTTTTTGCATGGGGCTGCCGCGCGCGCCGATGCGGGATCGAAAGACTGCGCGTGTCTAACCCAGCTTGTAACCATTTTTGTCCGACACTGCCATAAGGCCGTTTATTCTGAGCTAGACCTATCGCCACCGCTGCCTTTATATCAAATCTTTGACTTATACAAAAAAGACCCCACATACCTTTGCGTGTGCGTTCCAAAGTAGTCTACATTCGCCATACAATTGTATTAACTATATGTCATCTTCTTTAAACTTGATGCAAACGATTCCATCATTCATCGAACAAGCGAGGCAAAACACAACTATCTTAAAGCCTTATTCTAGACGGATTTAATCCAGCGTACCAACCAAGGTGACCTTGGTGGGAAGTCTGTTTCTATCCTCGTTATGATTTTCGGCTACACGGATGTAATCCACGCGCCAACACGCAATCGCGAACCGTCTTCTGGCGTGAAAACACGTATGCGCTTGTATCATGCGCGGACTGTATTAGTAACCGTGTTGTAGAAATGGCTCCAAATTTGTCTAAATTTCAATAAGTGGGCATTGCCTTAGGAGTTTTGTGTGCAATAGACGACGATAAACAACTCAATAAGAGAAAGTGGATGAAGCGTTGGTTAAAAGAGCGAATGATTTTCAGCCATTGAAACTTATGTCCAACTCCCCATACTTTTCGAGTAATATCTCCCACGCCAATTTTTTTTGACGGGCATCTTTATATGATTCCGACGTAATGTCCCATAAGCATGGGAGATCTCTATAAAGATCAATTAGTTCGCTAGTAATATCGCGATCGCGACTCTGGTCTTCGGACGACATTTTTTACATGCGTACGAGCGCACCCGCTGACTGCCACAGCCGGCCAAACGGTTGTAATCCACGCGCTCCAACCAGAATGTGCATTAGCCGAGCCCTGATTGAGCGAGCAGCCTCACGAGACAAATCCTCCGTCGTGTGACGGAGTCGGACGTGCCGCCTTTTTACATACGCAAACACGCGCCCGTAATCCAAGGACGTTGAAGGTCAAATCAAAATTTGGATTACATCCTTCGTCTAGATGGATGGCAACGGGCAAGGTCACCTTGGTTGGTACGCTGGATTACACCGTCTAGAATAGGTCTAAGTGTGCACGGCAGACTTAGTGAGTAAGACACTTTTGAGCATGGACAAAAACCGATAACGTTCGGCTCGGAAGAGGCACGTCCGACTCCGTCAAGACGGAGGATTTGTCTCGTGAGGCTGCTCGCTCAATCAGGGCTCGGCTAATGCACATTCTATCTAAATATAAATATATTAAATTAATCCCTGGTCATGCCATAACTAAGAATGACATTACAGATTTCATCCATATTCTTAGTTTACTAATACCTACTTTGTATAAAAAATAAGAAAACTAGAATATAATATAAGGAAACTTAACTTACGATTGCAAATGCTTTTAAGCCATTCCTTAGTTAATTAATTGACCAAAACGGGTCACCTGATTTTAAATGTTAATTTTAAGCGTTGTCAGTCATCGATTCACACATAGCTCCATGAAGTTAATCAGTATCCTATAACATAGGTATTTTGATTTATTAATAATTACCATTTTCATTGTCCTAGTTACATCAAGACCGTTGAAGCCTAGTGAACAAAATGGCAAAGAATACATATTTGTGAGTCGCGAAAAAATGGAACAAGATATTAACGATGGAAAGTTTATAGAACACGGTGAATACAAAGGTAATCTCTATGGGACATCGGCTGAAAGCGTCGAGAGTATTATCAATTCAGGTCGGTATTAACATTAAAAATTTTAGATTAGGTAAATATCATCTATATATATATAAAAATGAAACCCGTTTTCCGTTGTCACGACATAACATGAAAACGGCTTGACCGATTTGGCTGTTTTTTTTTTGTAGTTTTCTAATACTCTGTACAAGGTTCTCACGGAAAAAATTATAAAGAAAATCCCAAGGGGATAAAATAAGGAATGAAAGTTTGTATGAAACTTTATCAATTTTAAACCGATCGGGCTGAGACTTTGCATGCAGGTATAAGAAGAATCATAGATGAATGTCATTGTGTATAATACAAGCCTGAGAACAAAAACTGTAGTCTACACTTCAGCTCTACACCGAAACGAAGCGAGGGCGGGCCGCTAGTACTAAGATAAGAAAGGAACTAGAAAAATTCTTCATGTTTAGTTTGGCTCTAGTAACGCCTAACGTGACATAATTTGCAGTTTCCAAAGCATATTTTTTTTCTTATTCTTGCACTTCAAATTAAAATTATCAGGAGTCGCTTCATTTCATTTCCTGTAGGGAGGGGCGTATTTACCCTGGGGTCAAGAGGGTCATAACCTGGGTTGGCAGGCTTCTAAGGGCGGCTGCAAGAGCTGCAAAGGGCGGCAAAAGCCATTTTAATGCATTCTTTACTGGCCTGCCGCGCCAGCTTTTATAATACTCTCCTGCCTATAGAGCATGATAAGAATACATATACTGTTGTCAAATTTACAAATAATAAAATACGGAAAGCTGTTTGAAGTGCTAAAATAAGATATAAATAGATAAACATCGTTAATTCAAATTTATAATTGTATCTAACGATAAATGTAAAACAAATTTTACTAAAATAAAATCCACTCGGCCTCCGCAATCTGAGTGGGTTATCTTTTTCAAAAATAAAAATTTAAGATTTTATATCCAGCAGTAAAAATGCAAATTTAATACAAAAAATTAAATCATTATAATATATTGTGTAAAGTATTTTAGTTGTTTATATTGTTTCAGGTCGGGTGTGCGTTATAAGCCCTCATTGGCAGGCGCTCAAAATGCTTCGGACGCCTCGGCTTCGTCCTTACATTATATTCATAAAACCACCGCCGTTAGAGAAACTTATCGAAACACGAACATTGGCCAACGCTCGGTCCACTTTCGACAAAGAGAGTTCTAGAGCTTTTACGGTAAGATTTTTATGCTTATTAGATTAGATTTCTTCTGTGATATAACCGTGTAGTGTGTGTGTCCAAAATGACATTTCTAGGTTTATGTCCTTCGCTTAGCACCTATGCTTTTATGTTTACTAACTAGAGGAACAACTGGCGTATGCTGCAAGCATAAAAAAATGAATGCATTTAAAATTAATATTACCAGTTTTTATTTACAATACACCATCCTTTGAGGAGATGCTTGTATGAGAGAAATCGACTTAACGATTGAACCAAATATGCCTAATTGCATGGTTTTCTCTTTCTAAAACCATCTTCGCTTTATCACCTTTCTAATGGCGTGATTTCACTTGATCGTTAGACCGAATACGAATGCCTATGGAATTCGGACAAACGATGTGTTTGTGTGTTTTTGAATTCATATTTTTATTTGTATAGGAATTGGTATTCTTTTGCAAGAATCTATGAGACTAAGCAACGCAATGCGAGTTATGTTACATACTATTGAGTTTTATATGTAAGCAAAGCGATCTTTTACTTATATTTTTATGTCATATGTTAATGAACCTAGCGAATATTATATTGATGTTGCAAAAGCTTTTTTTACTTACGAAATATAATTTCATATGTGTTTTGAGTGAAATTATATATAACTGCGAAAGAGTGCAAATTGATATGATATTATTAGGGAATGAACAGTAAAACAGTGTATTGTTAATAATGCTTGTAATTTACTGTTTAATATTTATGACACTAAATAACAAACTTAAATATAAAAGAACTTCTCAACACTGGCCCGTTTCTTGTCCCGAAACAGTTGCAGGGATAAAGTAATACTGGAACGTGTAAAAACGCTTTTTTATATGCCTATTAGAAAAATATAAATTACTTTTATTTGATAAATGATACGTATCATATGGTATTTGATAGTGTTAAAAATAAAGTGCCAATTGTTAGCATCTGTGTTTAGAATGAATCTGCCAATATTCATTCTTTTATTCACTATTTTTACAAAAAAATCATAATTTTACTAAAAACAATCGAAAAGATAATAGTTTTCTTATCTTTTGTCACGTGACCCAAAACGCTTGGGATTGGCGGAGCCTAAAATGGCGGCACACGCAAGTGAACTTCCGGTTAAAGTGCTATTACATTGTATCGTTTGACGTTTTAATAACAGTCGTGTGAAGTCACATACCAGGGGGCCAATCGCCTAACGCAAATGCTTTGGGAAACGCTAACGCTTACGATTTTATATTGTTATTTCTAGCCGCCTGAGGTTTTCGAATACCTCACGCTCATTTTTTTTAATATTGTTATTACCAATGCAAAAGAAAAAGAAAGAGCGCGAGGCATTTGAATACCTCAGGCGGCTAGAAATAACAAAATAAAATCGTAAGCGTTAGCGTTTTCCAAAGCATTTCCGTTAGGCGATTGGCCCCCAGTAAGACGCCATACTGTCCAGAGAAACGCTTTCAAATTGCTGCGATTTGAAAATGGAGTTTTTGATTTGGTTATTTTTTACTGAAATACACAACAGAATGATGAATATCCACTTTTTATGGACTCCATAAACATGAGTCAATAACGTGAGATCGTTTTCTAAAACTTGTCTAATACTCTATTATTGACGAGTTGGTGCAACGCTTGCACATACTCCAAAGGCTTCGAATCCCAGATCATTTATTTGTGTGATGAGCATAAAAATTGTGTTCCTGATTCAAAGTTGTGTGTATACTTATATTACATACATTATTATAAGTAAATAATCTTGTGAATAGTTCGGATATATTATATTTTTGAGTTACCCTGCCGGCCTGCGATCGTGAGAGTAAAACAACTTTCGCAATAGTCGGCCATTGGATGGGTGACCAAAACTTTGATTCTTAATTTATTTGATTCAGAAGGTACGTTAAGCCGTTGGTCCCATATGCATCTGCAGTCGTTAGCACCCACCAATCCGCACTGGGCCCGCGTGGTGGTCATGACTCAATCTCACGATTCCATCCTTAGGGTAGGCCTGTGTCTCAACAGCGGGGACACTAAATAGGCTTGTGAGGTAAGGACTGAAATATATTGTGTTTGTACTGGTTATAAACTGAAATATATATATACACAAGATTTTATCAAATCCATGTTGCCAATTTCGGTGCGATTGCTAAATTAACAATATCTGCTTTCGAATTATATTTATAATGTTACTAGCTGACCCAGAGAACTTCATACCGCCATAAAAATAGGGGCAGTAGAGGAGAAAATTAAGAGTTGTATTTTTTTTAATAGGGGTGTGTAACTTATTATTCTATCAATTTCCTGGGATAACATTCCTCCTAACCCATATGAGAACACTACGTTACAATACCCAATAATTTGAATTTTGGCGCGAAGGCGCATTGTAGGTTTCAGAACATTACGTTACAGGTGGAAAACCATTATCACTTAAGGATATGAAAAATGATTCTCAGACCCACGGAATATAAAAATCGGTCAGGCCGTTTCGGAAGAGTATGGTAACTACCATTGTGACAGGAGAATTTTATATATAAGATAAGGTTGGCACACAAGCATATATGGCTCGCCTGATGGTAAGCGGCCACCAAAGCCTATAGATGCTTGCGATACCATAAAATTATAAAAAAAAGTCTTTCCTGTTCCAGCCACGCTTTTACAATCAAATATTATAATTAAAAGCACATAGTTTACACTTCAGCCCAGAAATAGAGACAACTTGAACGATCCATAATTTATTTTTGGTTTTTACGTGCATTTATAAAAGCGTGGTTTTCTAGTTTTTTTTTAAACTATTTTACTATATCTTTGATAACGAAATTTGTATTTTTAACATTTATTTGAAGTAGGCGAATGTGCCCGCATCCTCGCCATCTCTGCCAGTGCGTCTGTATTGCATGGTACTTTACCTGTCAGCTTAGAACAATTTAGCTCTTCAATCTGTATCCTTAGCACGAGTTTTACAATTACGATAACTATGATAGTTTTCGTGAGCTCGCACTCGTGCCAAGGGTACTGATTTTACTGTTTTCGTTTCAATACAAATAAACAGTGTTTAAATTATATGATTTACTCATATGCGTCTTCTTAAATTTTTAGTATATTTGGTTAATTTTCACCAAAATTGACATAGAAACATAATTTACAATTACGAAAACTATGATAGTTTATACAGCCTTGCATGCCCAACTTAAAATAACTTGGCCGGGAACTGGATGCCTATAGGCTGAATTAAGTGCTCACCGTCGTTTCCGAAATAATCTTTGAAGGACTGTATGTCGGTTTTATACATTTGTTCGTGTGTAAAGTGCGACCAGACGATGTCCGAGATGAATCCGATACTTCCATTCACTAGCCCCTTCTCACGTATATTAAGCTAGCAGACCATGGTCGCAACGCGCACATCTAACCTACTGGGTATTTAGTTGCTAATTATTTACACTATTCCCGATTTAGTTGCTCAATACCTGTAAAAGATGCAAGCGATCTGCTAGATTAAGTCTTAACCTAGCAGACCACAATACTGTATCTTCGGTTCCCGTAAAGATATCGAAGTTATGCAAACGGCATATTTAGTTGCTAATTAGTTGCTGTAGGACAGCATTATTTGTATTATCCCCTAATGGCCGCACCAGCACCCACACTATCCCCGAAATATGATAAAATTAAAAAGAGCTCATCAGATGATATAAACTACGGCGTATTTTGTTGCTAGTTAGTTGCTGCAAAAATGAGTTGTTTAAAAAATTTTATTATCAACCCTTAATTCCAGATCAGCACTGCAACCTCCCCAGAATAGGACGATATCAGAAAATTCTCGTAGGTGGAAAAAAGACGCGGGATATTTAGTTGCCAATTAGTTGCTCGCCAAAAACGCAATTAAGAGTATACTACAATCATCCCCGAACCTCAGATCCATCCCCTCTACTCACTTAAAAATAGTAGACGGTTCGAATTTGCACGCAGATGTTTAAAACTGCTGGATACATTGTTGCTAATTAGTTTCTGCAGAATAGCGTTGCTTATAGTATTTAATTATCAACCCTTAACTCCAGATCAGCACTGCAACCTCCCCAGAATAGGACGATATCAGAAAATTATGGTAAAGAGAAAATGACTGGTCGATCTGAGGCGAAGAGACGATTGTAGAAAAATATCCCGCATTATTTGTACCCATAAGCTGGGATGATTTGTAGTTAAGGGTTGATAATTAAATATTATAAGCAACGCTATTTTTCAGCAACTAATTAGCAACAAAACATCCAGCAGTTTTAAACATCTGCGTGCAAATTCCAACCATCTACTGTTTCTAAGTGAGTAGAGGGGTTAGATCTGAAATTAGGGGATGATTGTAGTATACTCTTATCTGCGTTTTTGCCGAGCAACTAAGTAGCAACTAAATATGCCGCGTCTATTTTCCACCTACGAGAATTTTCCGATATCGTCCTATTCTGGGGTGGTTGCAGTGCTGATCTGGAGTTAAGGGTTGATAATTAAATACTATAAGCAACGCTTTTATGCAGCAACTAATAAGCAATAAAATACGCCGTAGTTTATATTCTCTCATGACCTCTTTTTCACATTATCGTATTTAGAGGATAGTGCGGGGGTTGATGTGGCAATAAGGTGATGCTGGGGGAATAATACAAATAATGTTGTCCTCAAGCAACTAATTAGCAACAAAATATCCAGCAGTTTTAAACATCTGCGTGCGAATTCGAACCATCTACTATTTTTAGTGAGTAGAGGGGGTGGAAATGAGGTTAGGGGATGATTGTAGGATACTCTTATCTGCGTTTTTGTCGAGCAACTAATTAGCAACTAAATATCCCTCGGCTTTTTTCCACCTACGAGAATTTTACGATATCGTCCTATTCTGGGGTGGTTGCAGTGCTGATCTGGAGTTAAGGGTTGATAATTAAATACTATTAGCAACGCTATTTTGCAGCAACTAATTGGCAACAATATATCCAGCAGTTTTAAACATCTGCGTGCAAATTCGAACC